CCTCGTCGTTGGCAAAAGCAACAACAGCCATACTCGCAGCAATCTCCGCCCGGTCCTCGCTGCCCGGTGATGCATCATGTGCATGCTTGTACACCTGACAAGAAGTTGTGATGGTGGTCGTCGTGGTCGTCGTGGTGAACAGAAGCGGAGGAAAGGGGAACAAGCATGAGGGAGCAAGGACCACTGGGGGCTGATCGCTTTGCAAACAACGGCTATGCGACCTACACAAGAGCACACGCAAACAACCAACACCAGAATACACACGGACATATACTGCACACAAGCACAAACACAAACACGCACACACAAGTCCACACCACAGCACACACCATCGGATAAATCACCTGAAATGCTGCAGCGATGTCGCCCTGTTCCAGGAGCGCCTTTGCGTAAAGACAGAGCGTGGACGTGTCTGCTGTGCCAGCTTCCACTTCTTGTGCAAACAGCGGCAGACACTCCGCACTGCCCTGCAGCGCCAGGCACCGCGCAAGGTTGTGCTTGATGACAGCAAGATGCACGCCGTTGTTGACATTGTTGCTGTTGCCGTTGTTGTCGCTGTCATCAGCACTGTCGGAAGCAGCGTGCGCCTGTTGCTGCTGGGCGAGGTCAAGCGCTTGTCGGTAGAGCTGTTCCGCGCGTTTGTACAGACGCAGGCGCTCGTACAGGACGCCGCACATGTTGTGCACACACACGTCTGCGCTGCCGCCTGCTGTTGATGTGAGCGCTATCAGCGCTGTGCTCGCCTGCAGCAGGTACTGCTCCTCGCATCCACGCGGCACGTCGCCCGTTGGTGTCGGCACATGTCCGCGACGACCGCTGCTGCCGGCACCACTCCCTGCATCACCACCATCACCAGCACCGCTGGCGCCATCATCGCCACCACCATCACCATCACCATCACCGCTATTGGGTGTGGCGGAGTGCCGCTTGGGGCGAAGTGACTCCAGCGTGTAGAATGCAAACGCGCGGGCGGCACTGCCGTGTGGATATAGCTCAAGCGCGTGGCGGAAGAGATCAAGCGTCTCTTCGTGCTGCACCTCCGCGGCCACCAGCGCCTGCCCAATCCACGCCCGCGACTTGCCTGGGTCCAGCATCTGCGCCTGTGTGAACGCACGGTGCGCCTCGCGTGTTCTGCCGCGCGATTTAAACAGCGCCCCAATGTGCACCCACGTGGATGCGCTGCTGGGGGAGGACGTGGCCGCGTTCGCAAAGCTGTTGTACGCAAGGCGCACGTCCTGGCGTTGTAGAGCAGAGAATGGGCAAGGGAGCGGCCATTGCGTGTGAGACGACGATAGCAAACGACAAAGAGCATGACAGCCACACGGCCACACGGCCACACAGCCACACGGCCATCCAGCCGCGAGCACAACAGCTACCACGACAATCGCAGCACGCATGCCGCAACCAATACCTGGAGTGCAAATGCGGCGATGCCGAGCATGTTCCACGCGTCGGTGTAGTCGCGATCCAAGGTCAGTGCCTGCATGCACAAGCGCTGAACCTGATGCAAGAGGGTGTCTTCCCGTGGTCCGGCGCGTTTCGCGTGCTTGCTGCTGTACAGCCGCCAGCGGTTAACGGCGAGGTCGCAATAGGCGCCGGCCGTCGCATGCGACCGCACAACACGCGCGAACGCAGCAGCAGCACATGCGTTGAGCACCGCAAAGCAGGTGTCTTGAGCTCCAGCATCTTCGCCAGCAGCATTCGATGCAGCCGCTGTGGAGGCGAACATGATGGGTTGCACGCGGGCCATGGTCGTGGGCGGCAGCTGCGTGGCCAGCTCATACGCGTCACCGCACAGCTTCCACAGGCACACGTATGGGTTGGAGGAGTGCAGGGCTGGCTGGAGGACGGCGAGGGCGTGGTTGATTGCGTCAAGGCAGAGTTCGGGACGTCTGTTCCGATAGAACGTGCGCGCATTGGAGTACAGCGCCGAGGCAAGCCCTTCAATGGCGGGCGCGTGCGTGTTGTCAATGTCGAGAACAGACTGGAACGTGTGCATGGCCTCTTCCTCGTCCCCAAGCCGCAGCAGCGCCAGTCCTTTCATGTACATTGCATGCAGGCACGCTGGGTCTCGCTCGAGGCACTGGTCAAACGCCTTGTGCGCGGCGAGGAAGCTACCGCGCCGGTGGTACGCCTCTCCAAGCAGCTGCCACAGCAGCGCGCTGCCCGTGTCTGCACGCAGGGCCGTCTGCAGCGAGACAACGGCTGTGCCCACGTCCCCGCTGCCGAGCTCAAGCAACGCCTTGCGCATCCACACCCACGACAGCCGATCAGAGCCCGCGTGCGCCGCCAGTGTCGTCACCAGTGCATCCGCGTTCTCCGTTCGCCCCGCGCGCATGTGTGCGAGCCAAAGGGCATGGGCGGCCTTCGGATGCAGGGGTTCAGCCTCAAGTGCCTTTGCATAGCAGCGCACAGCCTTGTCCATGTTGGTGGCGGCGTAGTAGCAGCCAATGTAGTACAGGGCGTTGCTGTGGCCGCGGCTGACGCGAAGACACAGGAGCCATGGACGCAATGCTGTCCGTGGGATGGGAAGGGCAGCGTCAATCTCCACCTCGGATGTGGTGGTGGTGGTGGTGGTGGTGGTGGTGCCGGCCACGCTGCTGCCGCCGGCACTGTCTCTCCCGTCCTGCTGCTGTTGCTGCTGTTGTTGTCGTAAGCGCTGCTGGTGCTGCAGCGTGAGGAATCTGCCGTGTTGGTAGTGGTGGTCAGCGCACGTCGGCTGGACGTCCACGGCTGCTTTGGCCGCCGCCACTGCGCCATCCACATCGCCCGCCATACCCCGCGCCACCGCAAGGGCCGCATGGGCAGTACCGCACATGTTGTCGAGCGAAACCGAAGTCTCCGCGTGCATCATGGCAAGATCGCGCTTGTTCCACCGGGCAGCGATCCGCGCCAGGCCTGATGTACACATGTACAGGTGGAGAGGGAGTGAGGGAGGAGGAGAGGACAGGGAGTGTGAGTGTGAGTGTGAGTGTGAGTGTGAGTGTGTGAGTGTGAGTGTGAGACAGCACATGCGTACATGCATACATACGACACACGTGAGCTCAAAAAAAAAAAAAGGGGGTTGGATGCTCATTCTTCATGTTGTTGATGACACGTGTATCAGTGAAAGCGAACGATAGAATTGGATTGAGTGAGCCGTACGCATGACGACACACGATCACATCCAACAACACACACACTCTCTCAATCGCATACACGTACCGGCTTGTGCAAAGGCGTTTTCCGCGTGTGTAGCGAGCGTGGTTTGGTGCTGCTTCAAGTGCAGCGTGTCGAGGTGGGTCATCGTCACGGCGTGCATCACCGTAAACCATTCCCACATGCGCCGGAGCTTTCGTCCTGCCGCCTCTGCGTTGAGCGCGTTGATGCGTTCGAGAGCCGCTTGGCACGTGCGATCGCAGCCCGCAAAGTCATCCCGGCTGTACAGCAGCTGATGTGTGTGTGTGTGTGTGTGTGTGTGTGTGTGTGTTTTGGGTGAGGGCCAACAGAGCGTGCGACAAAAAGGAGACAACGCACGTGTGTGCACAGTAAGTCATGACTCAGCCCAATGCTAGCTCGCCAGCGTGATCAACTGTGCAACTCACCAGGGCGAGGTGCTTTCGGAGGAGAATGAGGTCCCGCGTGTCTGCGTGTGTGTCCACGGTTTTCTCGACCTCCGCCTGCAGTTCGTCCCAATTGACGCTCGTCGGCGATGAAGTGTTGAGCGCTCGCTCCACTGCACGAGCGCACAGAGTGGCGGTGGTGGTGGTGGGGACGGGGGTTAAAAGCATCCGTGAGCAATGTGTGTGTGTGTGTGTGTGTGTGTGTGTGTGTGTCTGTGTCTGTGTCTGTGTCTGTGTCTGTGTCTGTGTCTGTGTCTGTGTCTGTGTCTGTGTGTCTGTGTGTCTGTGTCTGTGTCTGTGTCTGTGTCTGTGTGTCTGTGTGTCTGTGTGTGTGTCTGTGTGTGTGTATGTGTGTGTGTGTGTCTGTCTGTCTGTGTCTGTGTGTGTGTATGTGTGTGTGTGTGTCTGTCTGTCTGTGTCTGTCTGTGTCTGTCTGTGTCTGTCTGTGTGCAGCTGCGGGTCATCGCGCACCTTTGAGAGCGACGGCCACGTCCGAGTCCTCGATGGAGTCGGCGAGGGAAGCAATCACACCCACCTCCTGTTGCATCACCACGCACACGTACACGCGCACACACGCGCACGTACACAACGAGCTGTGAACAAGTAGTTGGGGGTGCGGTATCTATATTGCATGTGCAAGCAGTGTGTGTGTGTGTGTATGTGTGCATGGGCGACGAATACAGGCAGCGTGGCCTGACCTTGCAGTCTTGAATGAGTTGTGCACCCTCATCATCGCAAGCCAGGTTGGAGTACAGCGCCAGTGCCGTCTCCACAGCAGCTGGCGATGAGACGTGGAGTGTGTGCACTGACGGATGAGTAAGACGCGAGCAATGCGCAACCAACACGTCGTGCATCGAAACCCAACGCTTCTACAACCATTTGCCACACGCACGCGCAACACATACACAGCACAGCCACAACACGACACGGAATGCGATTCCACGAGCAATCTACAACAACACGACAACACAAACAACCCCCACCACACACCTTTCTTCGTCGCAGTATCATCAACACCTCCATCGTCTCTAACATCATCGTCAGTGCTGGCAGGTTGGATGGCGCTGACACCGAGTCGAAACGCGCGCACCGCCGCGGCCGTATCTGGTGGAATTCAGGACACGCACATGTGATTGACCATGTTAATGCGCATGTGTGTGTGTGCGCGCGATTGTGTAAGCAAAACCGAGCGTGTATCTCTCTGTGTGTGTGTGTGTGTGTGTGTGTGTGTCTGTGTGTGTGTGTGTCTGTGCGTGTGTGTCTGGCTGGCTGGCTGTCGTGCAATGAAGTCGGTAACAGGGATAGCGGAGAGAACGAGTTTTCAGGCAACGACGCAGCACGCGATCCCAAAAAAAAAAAAAAAAATGCCCACCCCTGATTGCATCGCGCCACCATCACACTTGTTGCCAAATCACCTTCATGTCACACCACCATCGTCCCCCCTCCCCCAAACACCATCCCAATTCCGTCATCTTTGGACACGTGGCAGCAGCGATGCCACTCACCCATACGGCCAACGCTCCACAGCGCCTGGATCCGCCTCACCAACAGCCGCACCGTCGCCTGGTGTGTATTGTTTTGTGTGTGTGTGCGTGTGCGTGTGTGTGTGTGTGTGTGTGTGTGTCCATGAACAGAAGCCGTCATGGCCACTCAGCCAATGCGACCAAAGGTGTAGCGAGGCAGTCCTTTTGCCTGCACAAAACGAACACACAACCATCACAACACATTCACAGGAACACATGCATGCACTCATACATGGTGCCTTCTCTCACAACACGCACCTTTTCGGGGTGGCCCTGCTCGACAAGTGGCAGCATGGCAGAGATGACAGGCGCCGTGGCGGACTGCGGATCGTTCTCAATGTCGTCCATGATGGCCCGCCGCTACGTGCATGCAAGCGCAGCAACGCATGTCATGACATGAATGAACGGTGATGAAGACTACATAGATACATCACGCATCTGTCCGCACGCATGCAAACTTACGCACATTTGCACTCACATGCACTCATTCACACATTCACTCACTACACCCCCGCACGCACACACACGCAAACATTCACTCACACATGCACGCATTCACACATTCACACACACACACACACATTCACACACACACACTCACTCACTCACTCATTCACACACACACCCTGGCGACGGGGTCTGGATAGCTGAGCTTCTTGGCACGGTCAAGCCCAGCCTCTCGCTTCATCGTCAGCTCCAACGCACGTGTCCACAGGTCCAGCTTCTCTGCAGGCTCGCTAGCAATATCGGCGGCCCTTCGCACCAAATTCGCGGCCTCCTGGAAGTGCTCCAGCTTGTCCTCCACGCGGGAGAGGCGGCTCAGAACAAGCTCGCCCTTGACGGTGGCGTTGTTTCCCTGCATGGTCAGCAGCGTGTTGTAGGTGTCCTTGAGCAGCGACAGCATCTCGTCTTCGGCATCTTCATCGTCGCGCAGCCGCGCCTCATACAACTCAGCCAGGCCCTGCAACCCCCCCCCCCCGACCGAGGCACTGGTTAGCAAGAACGACAACAAGGAAGGTGATATCGCTTGCCAGACTTCTAGCCCGCTGTTGGTTCTTGAAACCTTGGCAGTTTCTCCTCCCCCCGCACACACACATCCACATCCACACATCAAAAGAGGGTCATGCACACATCCACACATCCACACATCCACACATCCACACATCCACACATCCACACATCCACACATCCACACATCCACACATCCACACATCCACACATCCACATCACACTCACCTGGTGGACGACGGCCTGGGTAGAATCTGCCGCCAGTGCATCCTTGTATCGCTGTTGGGCGCTGGTGAAGTCGCCAAGCTTGGCGTGTGCAATAGCAGCGAAGAGCAGTGCGTGAAAATGGTCCGGCTCATCGTCCAGGATTTGCTGCCGTTCACATCAGACAACCATACACAGTCGAGTAAATAATACACAGTTCAGTGAGTACACACACACACCCTGTTCACACTGTTCACACATCACATCACACACGTGACATGAAGACTGTTTTTCCCAGTGCAACGGGCAGGGTATCGCCACGCGACACCTCTACACCCCCAATTCCATTCCGACCCATTCCACTCCGCCATGCACGACACGGCAGCAGAACACACGTTGGCTGCGTCCAGTGCCCTGTCGTACTCCTGCGCCTGAATCGCCGCCTTGGCCGCCTTCAGCAACTTCTTGCTCATTGTTGGTTGGTGGGTGATGGTTGCTGAAAATCTAACGAATACTTCAGCCAATTATCCACAATCATCAGCGAAGACAAAGGAAGGACGACGAGACGATGCGGCGGTTGTCGAAGCGGGAGCGCTTGCAGGAGCAGGTCAAGTCCCTGGACGTATTCAGCAAGGTTGAGCCAGACACTGGCATCACACAGTCGTCCACGTCGGGTGCATTAGGTGCGCGCATCTAAAGAAGGGAAGGGGCAGGTCCATGAATGCCGTGTGGTGCGTGAGCTGTTGCTGCTGACGTGTGCAGCACAACCCCACATTGACCAACACCTCATTTCCGTCCAATTGTGCTGTTTGTCTTGCTTGCCTTTGGTTGCAGTGACTCTTGTGACTGCAGCCATCGTGTGCGTCCTGGTGTGGAGTGAGATTTCAGAGTACAACACCCTCAAGATCAAATATGACTACTTTGTGGATACTGACCTGCGCAGGTATGTGGGGGGGGGGTGTAGGTGAGCGTGTGAGTGTGTGCGTGAGCGTGTGAGTGTCACTGTGTGTGTGTGTGTGTGTCACTGTGTGTCAGTGTCTCTGTGTGTGTGTGTGTGTTTGCGAGTGTGTGTGCTGGGCTTGTGGGTTTTCGATACGACAGTTGAGTATACCATACTCTTCTCATTCCTCACACGCGTTGTTGTGTGTGTGTGTGTGCGTGTG